TTAAATCTTATCAATTACAAACGTAATTTGGCTTTAAGTTTAATTTTATTAACCAAGATTTAATTAATGGAACCCCTTCGGTAAATCTCGGTAAAATGAAAACTAAAACCTTATATATTGTAATCATTATATGACAATGCAATTTTAAAAAATGTTGCTTGTGATATATTACAATCAAGAAATGAACAAATATACAAGCACTAAAGCAAATCTCAATCAATAAAATTTAATCCTTATTAACTAATAACGTTATTTAACTTAAAACTATTAAATACTATTAGTATTATAATCATTTGTAGCTCAACACTATTACAAACCATTAAAGTAAACCTTATACTTTAAAATTAATCCTCATTAATTCATATCGTTAATTAACTTAAAACTGTTAATGCTTAATTATATTCGTTTTCAACTTAACACTTTTTACATTTGATATTTATCTTTTAAAATATATTATTAAAGATAAAAAATTAAAAATTTTATATTATATTAAAATATTAATTAAATAAACTTTAGTAAATCCCATTAAAATTAAAATGTAATCCTTACCATAATATTAATATGACTTAAAACCATTACTTGTCATTTTAAGATTAATACACTCTATAAACCAGATTTATTTTTAATATGGAAAATATGCAATATATTATTTATACTAAAAATACATTAATTATCTTGAATAAAACTTAAATGAGTCTTATTTCACTTAAATGAAACCCAATCAAATTTTTAATCCAAACACGTTTATTGAACTACTTAAATACTACAAGCAAAGAAATTATTTTTCAATTTCTTTACTGATAAGATTTTTTATGTGATAACTAAAAAAAATAAATTCATCAAATTAATGTATATATAAATAAATTATTATATCAAATGAATTTCCCAATTGAACGAAGAAACAACAGTAAATAATGTTCATCAAAATAGTGCTCAAGTGTTAATTGACAGTTTATAAGCATATCACAAGTATATATTATGTGACGTCTAAGATTAAACATAAAAAACAATTATTTGATAGTTAAATTGTTTTGTATAAATGTTTAAATAAAATATCTTCAAAGAAATACGAGTTTTCTTAATAAAATAACATTTGATGGACTTTAAACCATCTATTACATAAAGTCTCTTACTACTTAACTTTACTACTTTGATAATACTACTCTATATTTTGTATTACTTGACATCCCCTAACAGAATATGAAAGTATACATATGAAGTATATATCAGTAGTTTACTTAAAAATATTATTTTACCTCAGTTGTACCTGTCTATACATCTGTGGATTTGTTTGTTTCTACTTAAAGCTTAAGCCTCAAATTACTCACGGTGGAATGAGTTTCAATAAAATCTTTCAAATTGTGAATACGAATTTCCTTATGGCCCCTATGGGTTTCATTTCAAATCTCTAGCTAATATC